AGAACATACGCCTCCGGAACGCCGCACATGCTGACAACACCTCTTCCAGCTGCCATATATGTAATGGTTTTAATTGCCTGGGTCATCGGCATTAACACAACGATATCCCAGCTCGTGGTCCCTCCGCCTTACTCGTTCAGCTCTAACGCCGAAGCCGCAAGCTGGGTAGCCCCAATGATTGGCGCCGTCATCGGCGAAATTTGGGGTCAGTGGTTCAATGACTGGCTTTGTGCGCGCTACATTCGTACCCACAACGGCTCTTACAGCCTCGAGAACCGGCTATGGGGTACTTACGCCCCTACCTTGATCGGGTTTGCGGGCCTCGTCCTGTACGGGCAGGCGCTACAGCACGCGTTGCACTGGATGGCCCTGCTGGTGGCGTGGTCTTGCGTTGCGTTTGCCATGATTGCTGCTACCACCGCGGTCAGCGCGTACTGCTTGGATTCCTTCCCTAATCACGCGTCGCTCGTGGCGAGCATCATCAATTTTTGGCGTACGACCGGTGGCTTCTGTGTTGGCTACTTCCAGCTCAAGTGGATAGCAACCTCCGGTGCTGCGGTAACCTTTGGATGCCAAGCAATGGTGCTGGGGGTTGCTTTTCTTGTCGGCGTCGTGTCAACACAGGTGTTTGGAAAGAGGTGGAGAATGAGGCACCCGCCGCCGAAGGTAGAGAACTGAGAGAAAACAATCTCATTGTTTGGTGTGTCGTCGAATGCGCAGATACCGACAGATTCTGATTATGACGGCGACAATCGCAAGCGGCAGTGGTCTTGCCGCCGCTCTTGGAAGCTTTAGGTTGCGATGCCCATGCTTTTTGAACAACAAACCTGAATGCACTGTCAGTAAACCTACCGTTATAAGCCGCCTGCTACCCTGAACCTCTGCCGAGAAGTTCTTCAATTTTTCCACCAATTCAATATCATGTCTGCAATATTCTGTTCCGTAAGCTGATCGATCTCCCGCTGTCATGTCCTTCTGCCCCTGCGCTCTCGATCCTGCTGGCGAGTGCTCTTCTCCCTCAAAACTCGACGTAAGACTGCGCGCCGTCCCTAGAATTCTCAGTGTCAAGATTGTCCTTGTTCTTTTTGGCAGTCATGGAACTGTAAGCGCAATGGGACCTTTGCAATGTGCGCATACTGCGATAAGCGAAATTTGCGGAATAGTTCTCTCTCACTGCCCGGCTCAGGGAAGTAACGAACCAGGAACGCCGCAAGGTGGTTATCCAGCGACCAGCTCGCTGTGTCGGCAGCCGTGTTGCCGTAGTCTCGGTCGTTGTAGTGGCTCGAGATGAGAGTGAGGTACGTTTTAGAGATTTTCTTACATTGTCGCCACATGCCTTTAGGCCTCTCTAAAAGTCAAACTGTACATTCTGAGAGGCCCAACAAGGGCATAGGTATCTTTCATGTGAAGTGGAGAAACGGAGTATCTGTCAAATTGTCAGTTGCCTCGATTTCTCAGGTTGTCACCATCCGGCTTCAAGGCTTCCAAGATGCAAATGTACTTTTGGATTGCTTTCAGGCCTTTCAGAATGTGGAGGCGATTCTTGAGTAACTTTAGGCTCTCCGCGGTGAAGTTGTTGTAGTTCTCAAAGGAGTACATTACGAAGAAGGTGACCTAGGCTCATTATCTCTTGGTCGATGGCAGCAGAACTAGAGAAGCAGCTCCATCAGTCGGTCGACCATCTGTATCCGTGGAGCAGATCATTTTGTCACCAACGGCTCCTGAACCTAGATACTCTTCCTCAGCTCCGCGGATCCGCGTTGATGTCCGTCGCCGCGTTGGATGTCGAAGATCCATACATTCGGAATGAAACCACAACGGGAGCGCGCGTAGCGCGCATGAGACTCTAAGGATACGTTGTATCCGAGATCATCTCAGGGCTCAGACCAGGGGCTCGTCAAGGATATCTGGGAGGTCACACTCATCAAGCAATGATCTTGCAGCGGCGTTGAAATGGTTTCTGCTTGGACTCATTCGACAGATCTTCCGAGAACCAAGAAGCATGAAGTCGTTCCGCAGACCGTCTTACGGGTCCTCTGGAAGCCGTTTGCCGAGTGTTCTCAGCAATCCATCAGTCGTTGCCGATTTACTACCATCACAAGGGCCCAGATTGAGGCTGATGACGGTGTCATGCTCATCTGCCCATCTAAGTCAACATCAAATTGCCCGGAGAGCTAGGGACGCTACATCTCCCGTAAACGTCGTGAATCTGTATGCTACGTCTTCCGCGGCCGAGTAAGTCTTTTTGCACTTGCGGCGTGATGTTAGAAGTGAAGATGGCGGTCCACGAGTGACGTTGTTTGACATGTGACACTGACAACCCAACTTCGTTTGCAACAGTCGGTTCACCCTATCCAAACCATAACGCTCGATGCGATAATCTCTGGTTGTTCAGACTCCGTCCCGACCTCATATTGCAGAGTATAGACAGTCGCTTCTGGGGCAACATAGGGGACCCTGGACTTCCGCTCTCGCCGCGACAATGAGCGATCTGCTCGACTTCCTACGTACCCATGAGGAGGCCTTTCGTAGGTACACACGTGCAATTTTCTTTCATCCTCCTGTATACAACGTGCACACGTAACTAACCATACGCCTAGTCGCAACCGCCTAACCTCTCTCTACTCTGATTTCCGCCTGCAAAAATCGACAAACCCCGACGGCTATCAAGCAAACTCATCCGCCTGGCTGCGCGCCTTGACCGCCGCATCGCGAGCCGGTCTTCTTCCCTCATCACGTACCGGAACCGCTGAAAACAGTCAACTTTCGTTCGCATCAGGCAATGAGCTCGAACGAGCGCTGCAGACCCAACAATGGGGCCGGCCGCTCGCACTGGGTGCTGTGATACAAGACGCCGTGGACAGAAAGGAGCTTATTCCGCTAAGAGACTATCTGAATGCGAAGACGAGCGTGTATGCAAAGAGCTGGATTCCGAGCCCGTGGCAGGTTGTCAGTTGGGGATTGAAACAGCTGGGCTTGGGTTTCGGTGGGGGACAGGACAAGCTGGCTGTGGGCGACTTCGTGGTTATGGCTAACGTGGAGGTATGTTCTGGGTTCACGCCATCGGCGGCAGAAGTACTCGACGAGCGAATGTGCTGAAACGGAAATTCCCAGGCTGCAGCGAATGCTGTCCTCGCAAAAGCGGCGCAGAACGGGTCATCTCTCACCTCGCGCATCTACTCACGGGAGCTCTTTGAATCCGAATTTGCGCACGTTTTATCGTCAGGATCGTCAACCAACACTGCCCTCAGCAGTACGGATTTCTCCATCCTCCTCGCCTACCTCACCCGGGAGAAGCCCACGCTGGCATGCAGTTCTTCCGGCAACACCATCAAATTCAAACCATCCACCTCCGCATCGCCGGAACCTGTGACCGAACAAGACGAGAACATCGCTTCCTTGCGGACCTTGATCGCAACACTAGAAACCCAAACCTTAGCCCTACAGTCCCGGATCGACGCTCTGGACTTCGCGACGCGAGAAGCCGTGTCCAAGAGACAAACGACCCAAGCCAAATCCTCCTTACGGTCGAAAAAACTAGCGGAAAGCACACTAGAAAAGCGTACGGCGACGCTGGCTCAGCTCGAGGATGTCTACGCCAAGATCGAACAGGCAAGCGACCAAGTCGCCGTGGTACGCGTCATGGAGTCCTCCGCCTCCGTATTACGAAGCTTGAACAAGGAGGTTGGCGGTGTAGAGGGTGTAGAGAACGTCGTAGACAAACTTCGGGAGGAGATGGCGGATGTGGATGAGGTTGGACGCGTACTGAACGAAGCTGGTGTCGAAGGGGTGGATGAGGGTGAAGTTGACGAAGAGATGGAGAATCTAGAGCGGGAGGAGAGGGAGAAGAGGGAAGCGGCGGAGAGGAGAGCGAGAGAGGAGAGGGAGAGCAAGGAGGCGGAGGAGATGAAGAGGAGATTGCAGGAACTGGACGTGCCGGGAAGGGAGCCCTCGGAGGGAGAAAAGGCCGGAAAAGAGAAAGAGGAGACGCAGGGTCAGGAGGCTGATGAGATGGAAGTTGATCCCAAGGATTCTGGGCAGCAAGAACGGCAAGCGGAGCCGGCGACATGAGTGACAGTATGTTGAAGGCTCAACATCCCTCTGCAGACCAGCTCAACGCTAATGAAACAACGGGACCCGCACGTGATTGTGTCCAGTCTGTTGTCGGATGATCCTCCTCCTTGACTTGCAGGGAGGAAGAGAGGAAGGCGAGCAGAAAGATGGGAGAGGGCGTGAACCTGCTTTCACACGTGCTAGAAGGTTCTGGGAGGATCACCAGGCGTCAGAAGTAAACGTTCACATGTTGAGAGTATCGGGAGTCATCGAGGATCATGAGTCCATCTTTCGCGGGCAGTCACAGGCACAGTCATATTTACAAGATGGGTGAAGATGCAATAGAAGGTTGGTCGCCGTCCAACGATTTCAGAGGTCGGTGTCTTCAACTAGCAACCGGGAAGTCGGAGTGTTTGACCATCGCATGCTTCGACCCATTAGAACGCAAGTGTAAGGTTCCTTTGCCAGAGGGAGTCTGTAAACGAGCTGTTAGTTTCACACAGTCAAAGGTCCACGTTCGAGGTCAGCTGCAACGCTCCGGTAGCACTCAAGAAAGTCACGATAATCGTGTGCTATCTTAGTTGTTGGAATTACGACAGCCTCTACTCGAATTCTCCGGCAGATTTTCGAGGACCAAGATGCCTATAGTCGTACAGCGGAATCAGTGGCGTTGATGAAAAACCAAGGACCTAACACCGCCGGTCGCATGCATGTACACGAACACCAATGTCTTTCTATGCAGAGATATGAGGGGCATGCCGGAACCGCACTTGTGTGCTTGCTTCATGAAAGAAATTGTGCTGTTGAAACGGACTGGTGCTTTAGGGATGACGATGAACAGCGAGGTTCGTTATAAGTCGGGCCGACTGATGTGGATCACTAGCGCAAAAAAAGTACATATGATTTTTGTTCAGATAGAAAGCTTCAACGGCAGGTGGCTTTAGCCCGGCTGGCACAATTGGTCAGCGCGTGAGACTTTTAAGGATATGTTGTATCCGAAATTATCTCAAGGTTCAGAGTTCGAGCCTCGTCAGTATCACCTCCTACGCACTACAATCCATACGCTAATATCCTCCTAGTGGTCGGGCGAAAACGTCAACGCACTTTTTTGCCGCTGTGCTGATGGGCTTGTGACAACAGTCAAGTCCTCATAAATGTCCCTAAACTCCGATGCATCACCCTCCTTGACTGCGGGCGTGTCGTTGTGTTGCATCTATCTGGTGGAGTGCACAAGCAAAACAGTGGCATCTCTTGGCGATCGTAATCAGGCGTATCATTTTCGCTGCGCGGTGTCTGCCTTATGACTTTGCTTAGTCATCGGAAGTCCCGTCCTGTTCATTTTCTCTGAGAATGATCCTCAGCGTTGCTCGCAAATATCACATGCCAGATGTGACTAAACTTCAACTATTCATTCTACAATACCATACTTACGAGCCGCGAAGATGCCTTGTAAGACTCGTTATCTTCTCTGCTATTCGGCTTGACTTAAAGTCGACCGACCCTGACCATGTTCTAGCAAGATTGCACGCCGAGGATGAGGACCCTGTAACGGCCGAGTACGATGTCTTCATAACCCCCGACCTGGCCGAGAAGATATATCTGCTGCAATATCCTATCCGGAACCGTGAGCAGCCATACAACGACCGTCATGGGGCTATGCCAACAGAGATGCGCATCAAGCCCGGCGCCGGATTCATGGAAATGGACGTCGAGATGAACGCCAGCGTCAACTTCAACAAGCGTCAGGGTCTCGTCTGGGGCGATGCCATGCGTAAAGCACAAGCTGCTGGCGTGTCAACGTTTGGTGCTGCTGCTGGATTCGCACCTGTGCCGGTGCCCAGAGGGCGCGGAGCAGGCTCACGTGGTGGCGAGGCGCAAGAACAGTCCATGGACTCAAGCCTTGCCAGATTCCAGGACGCTGTAAACAGGGGTAATGTCTTTCGCAAGCAGACGCTTGGAGGACAGATCGTGAAGGATGAGACGGGCTTGCAGCCAAACTACATGCTAGGCGCTTTCGTTGGCAGTACGTCTGCTAGCCTTAAGACTCAGAATGGTGCAAGGGCAGTGTGCTGACAAAAGCCAGACGAGCTACACCTCACGAAAGTAACCGGTGTTGTACAGATGCGCCCACAGTTCCATCACCTGGATGCAGCAACGCACATGGAGTCAATTCGTAACAGACAACTCGACGCCGAGGACGGTGCTCCGCGCCCACAAGCACAAGCGCGTGCCATGACGCAAACTTTCAAAGACACCCGCGATGGCGATGACAGTGCAGTGCTGAGAGCAAAGAACCTGCTTCAACTCGCCCAGGAGGAACCATGGACGAGGCTGTATTACTACGACGAAGACGTAAGCCATGACTCGAGATGTCACTTGGACACCGCACATTAACAAGCTCAGCTGCAAGAATCATATGATTCCTACCGCGACAAGCTCTTCCTCAAAGACCCGGAAAATGCGCCTCGACTCAAATCTACCATGACGAACGAAGAGTACCTTGATGCGATCAGCGCACCCAGGAAAGATCCCAGCGGACGTAAGAAGAAGCGGCCCATGACTAGAAAGGAACGAGTCCAGATCGAACTTGGTGAGGACGTTGTTGAGCAGACTGAGCCGCAGGATGAGGCACAGGACGGTGAGCAGGATCAAATGGAGGACGTACAGGCCTCTTGAATGTTTTCGACAAGCAGCAAATAAAACCGGCGCTTTTCTGGTCTCGGTGTGGTTTTGTGGCGTATACGGAGGGGCTCTGAATGCATAGCGACGGCGTTTTGTGGCCACCACAAGGAGGTTCTTTCAGGCTGTTCGTAATTAGACCACCGAGGACCAGTGCTGAGGTTGCTATACTCTACGACGTCAGTACGTGGTGGTCGGCAAGACAGCACCGGAAATCAGTGTTCTCGAGGGAGAACCAGCAACGAGTGTTGATTACCTACCATCATGCCTCTTTACGGTAGCGCTCTACATGTCAAGTCGATATATGCGCGATGGGACTGGCCTTATATTGGCCACCCCTGCGGAGGGTCCTCCATCTGCTTGAAGGCTTGTCTCATGTACTGGTGCTGGTCCTTGATAATTTTGTCAGAGACACTAAGAATCTTGATGAGGTTCTGGGCATTCTACAACACTTCCCCATGGGGTTTTGAGATTAGCCTTCTCCATCTTGCGTTCTACCAACGGAGGCCCATTTAGAACGATGGTGATTCCCGCTCTCAAGCGGTAGTCTGTAGGCGCCAAATTGCTGTTAAAAGTCAACAGCGATGCCACAATACCATTCTACATGTCGTCGGTTTTGCGATTGTTCTCCCCTGTGTTACCTTCTGTTAATGAAGGCCTATTTGAAATGACAATAACACACGCTTTCAAGTAATAGCGTCCAAGTGCGTAAATTGCTATTGCAAGGCAATAATTGTTCGACTAGACCTTTATACCTGCATTGAATCTCAAGATCGAGCTTGTTGACTTCTCTCTACAGGAAGAGCGGCCTCTATAGTAATAAGAAAATTTGCATCTAAGGAAACATAAACCTAAAGTAGAAACGACTTCGACTCATTACAATAGTCGCTTCCATTGGTATGTGCTTCTCCAACAAGCTTTGCGGGACAAACTCCAACTCCTTCCCCCCACACGTCAGATCTGCAATCTGCAATGCAAATCTCCATCGAGTCCCTCGGCAGCCGAATGTCCCGGTGTGAGCCGCTGACGCAGCTATGCTTCACTGCGCGCGTATTCTCTGCTCGTCAAACACATCGCTTCCTCCATGACCTCGCGCAAGACAACAATGGCAGCACTGACACCGTTGAAGCACAACCTTGTTGGTCCAGCACTGAGGAGATGCTTCTCCACATCGAGGAGCGTGCAGGCTACCTATGGCTTCATTGGGCTGGGCAGAATGGGTGTGTCGTCACAACTGCTTGCGCATGGCTATATGAAGGCGTTTGCTGACAGGTGTGTTCCATGATAGGTTATCCCATGGCAAAGAACCTACGTGAGAAGACAAATAGCTCGGACAAGCTCATCGTATTTGACGTCAACAAGGACATGAGCTCGAAGTTCACAAAAGAGACGGAGGGTGTTGAGGTAGCACAGAATGTACGGGAGGTTGCTGAGAAATCGGTACGGTATCCTGTTTCCTCCATGACCAGACTATACCTTCTCCTAGTCTGCCTTCCGTCTTCACTAAGAGCGCCATCCACAGTCGCTTGTTTGACTGCTAACTATTAACTCAGGAAACTATCATTACGTGCCTACCAGAGCCACACCACGTCCAAAACGTCTTCAAGTCTATGCTGAAGCCTCCGACACTCCTGAAAGAAGGCACGGGTAAAGAGCGACTCTTCATCGACTGCTCGACTATCGACCCGCGCTCGTCTCGTGAAGTCGCAAATGCTACGCGCTGCTCAGGCCAGGGCAAATTTATCGACGCGCCAATGTCCGGCGGCGAAGTCGGCGCGCGCGCAGGCTCCTTGACTTTCATGATCGGCGCGCCGGACGAGCTTGTCGAGCGCGCAAAGGAAATTCTGGGCACAATGGGCAAGCGTGTTATGCACCTGGGGCCGCAGAGCTCAGGATTAAAGGGCAAACTCGCGAACAACTACATTCTGGCCTGCAACAACATCGCAGTCTGCGAAGCCATGAACATGGGCGTGCAATGGGGGCTTGATCCCAGCGCGCTCGCGGACATGATCAACTCGAGCACGGGGCAGTGCTGGCCCAGTAAGGTTAACAACCCTGTCCCTGGTGTCGTTGAGAACTCGCCCGCAAGCAATGACTATGTTGGAGGGTTTGGCACGGCGCTGATGAACAAGGACCTTAAATTGGCGATGCAGGCGGCGGAAGAATCGAAGATCGAGCCCAGGCTGGGCAGACTGGCGAAGGAAATCTATGATTCTGTGGAGAGTGGAGAGCTCAAGGGCAAAGACTTCAGCATTGTTTACAAGTGGCTGCAGGGTAAGGTATAGACAAAGATCACACAGTAATGATAGAACCTCTACAAGGATGGGTTTATGAGAATCAATAGAGACTGTGTTCCATTTTGGGAAAAGTGAATCCGGGTCTTTCATGTGACAATGCGAGGCGCAGCCCGATCACGCGTCATCGCCTGGCTTCTGGTCGCTTCCACTCTGACCAGCAGGCGACAACATATCTTACTCTCTTCTCGTCCGTCCCTCGCTGCTTTTCCGTCAGTAGTAAACCAGATAGAAACAATTTCAGCGCGACAACAACAATGTGCGGCACAGACGTCTTTCTCGCATTCATCGCCATCCTCTTCCCGCCCATCGCAGGTAAGCCGCCCGTCTCATCCCATCAGCCTACATTCTCCGCTAACAGCGCCTCTTAGTCTGGGTCAAGCGAGGCCTCTGCAGCGCAGACTCCCTCATTAACCTCGCCCTTTGCTGTCTCGGTGTCCTTCCCGGCCTCCTGCACGCCTGGTACATAATCTACCTCCACCCGGATCCAACCTACTCCGAGCCCTCGCAAGACGCAGAGGGGGCCAGAATGGGCGTGTGACCTACTATTACGTCCAGCAAGGCCCGCCGGCGCCGCATCATTCGAGAAGCGGCAGACAAGGTGGACAGCAGGGATACGGAACCGTGGGCGCGTCCGCGCCGGCGTCGCAGTTTCCTGGCCAGCAGGCTGGCGCGCAGCCGTATGCCCCGCAGGCGAAGCAGCAGGTACAGCGCACCGAACAGGCAGCGGGGAGCTCGAGTGAGGTGCCGCCGTCTTACCAAGAGGCTGTGAGTGGTGACCACAAGGTGCAGTCGAGAGACTGAGCAAGAGATTGGGATGGGATGGGATGGGTGTTTCTATGTGGTTTACTTTATGGAATCTGGACAATGGGGCTTTCGAGTGAAGGTACGACACTAATAGGTTTGTTCATAGAAGCAGAATAGCCAACCACATTGATGGTACCCAGTTGCCTATCTTACAACTGGTAGTGTATTACAGGTCGGACGTGGTCCACCCTAGAACCTCATCTCTCTCAAGTTTGAATTCTCTTCCACATCATCCTCTTCCTCAGAGTCACCGATCATCTGT